TTTTTTTTTAATCCTCACTTGAGCTTTTTTTTTCCATTGCTTTTCAGAGAGAGTGGGAGAGAGAGAGAGAAACATCAATGTGAGAGAGACACATTGATCGGTTGCCTCCTGTATGCGCCTCAGCTGGGGCCGGGATGGAGCCTGCAACCGAGGTATGTGCCCTTGGTCGGAGTCAAACCCGGGACCCTTCAGTCCGCCGGCCAAGGCTCTAACCACTGAGAAAAACAGCCAGGGTTTACCATAATATTTTTTTCTGTTTTTTTTTTAAGAGAGAGAGAGAGAAACATCGATGCGAGAGAGAAACATCGACCGGCTGCCTTCTGTAGGTGCCCCAACTGGGGATCAAACCCACAACCCAGGCATGTGCCCGGACCGGGAACCCAACCGGCAACCTATTGGTGCCTGGGATGACGCTCGGCCAACTGAGCCGCTCTGGCCGGGCTACCATAATATTTTTAAAGATTCTGGTATTTTTTTTAATGACTAGAAATACACACACACACACACACACACACTCAGGACAATCTGTTCAGCTGGCAGATGGAACGAGACCTCGGGGACGTTCCAGTTCAAACCGCCGTACCGGGAGCTAACAATCGTGACTTTCATTTGGAAAACAGCTGCTTCTGCCAGAAAGTTTAGGAAACCTGGCCTCCACCCAACAGGAGACACCAGGTCCCTTGGACTTGAGAATAGCTCTGCCATTTGCGCCCGTCCCAGGGAAAACTGGGAGGAGGAGGGGAGAGAAGAGAGCTGGGGGTCCCACTCGCCCTTTCCCATCAGGAAAGCTAGCTAGACCTTAGAGAGACAGTTTTATCTCAAGGGTTTGAACCAAAGGGCCTCAGGGGTTGACCTGGGAGACCCACACCATGCACAGATTTGCCTTGCCTCCCAAGAAAACAGAAGAGCCAGCCTATCAGAGCTAAAGTGGGAAGCGAGGACAGGGCTTGGAGCACAAGTACCATCACATCGCACCATCGTCTCCATGGCACAATTGGGGAAACCGAGGCTCAGCTTCCTTCCGTTTGTCAGAGGAAGAGTCAGGGCTAGATCCCAGGGCTCCAGAGCTGTCCTCACATTTCACCTCGATGTTTCCATGCCCAGTGCTGAAGATGTGGACACAGAGAGGTCCCAGCCTCCAGCACAGGCCCAACAGATACACAAAGCTACTCAGTTTCCTCATTTCCAGAATGTGGGCACCTTTCGGGCAGGAATCTTTATCAGTTTCATTCATTGTTGGATTCCCAGGGCCTAGAACAGTGCCTGGCACATAGTAGGTACTCAGTAAATACGTGCTGGATGAATCTGTAAAGGGGGTGGGGGTTGTGACAATTACACAATTCAATTTATGCAGGCCCTGGCTCACAGACACAGTAAGCGGCAGTGTAGCAGTCATCGCTGCACCTGTCCCCTGACAGATGGGACCGGTGGCAGCAGAGAGGTGAGATCTTGGACCCGGTGAGCTGATCAGAGCTGCCCAGCATGGGCGCCTCATCCACCCCTGCCCCCTCTGCATCCTCCCCCACTCACCTGTGCAGCAGGCCTTCCTGCCTCAGGGCCTTTGCTCCTACCCTTTCCTCTGCTGGGATGCCTTCCTTTCCCTTCTCACCTGAGTCACTCCTGCCCAACTTTCCTCATGGGCTCCATCGTCACCTCCTCGGAGAAGCCATCCTGGCTCCCTGGCACACCTGGCCGTGGCGCCCTCAGTTCGGGTGTGGTTTTACATGGGTTTGGAGCATCTGACTCTGGTCTGCCTCCCTGCTTGACTTCAGCTGTTCGTCAGCCTGGAGCACAGTGCCTGGCGCCCAGTCTGACTATCCTCAGTGGGAAAGAAGGGGCAGAGGCCCTGCTCCATGGCCCCCCGTCACCCAGGGAGCAGGGTCCTGGCCACAGACAGCCCTGCCCAGAACTTCCTGCCCCCAGGAACCCCCAGTACAGGAAGGTCCTGGCCTGAGGGGGCTGTGGGACCACAGAGTCCACCTGCAAGGCTCATGGTGGGGGACAATTAAAAATAAAGTTCCTGCCCTAGCTGGTGTGCCTCAGTGGTTAGACTGTGAGCTCACAAACGAAAGGGTCATGGGTTCGATTCCAGGCAACGGCATGTACCTGGGTTGCAGGTTCGATCCCGGCCCATGTCCTGGCACGTGCGGGAGGCAACTAATTGATGTGTCTCTTTCACATTGATGTTTCTCTCTCTCCCCCCTCCACCCTTTCCACTCTCTCTTAAAAAGATCAGTGGAAAAAATATCCTCAAGTGAGGGTTAACCAAATAAAATAAAATAATAATAATAAAGCTCCTGGGCAGAGCCTTTCTGAGGTGCACGAAGGGCTTTGCTCCCCGGATCTGACCTCTTCCTCACTGCAACTCCATGAGTCATTTTTTCCCCACCTGGCAGGTGAGGAAACCAAGGCCCAGGACCACCCAAGATTGGAAGCAGCCACGGGAGCCCCACGTGGCAGCCTGGCGCTCTCTCCACTGTCCCTGCAGGAGCCCAGCCTCCAGCTGGGGACACAGGTTGGCCACAGCAGCAAACCCAGGCAAAGGATGGCTCGCCTGCTTACAAGCACCTCTCATTAGTTTTGAAGGAAACAAATTTCCACACCAAATAAGGCGGTGGACCTTGAAGCCACTGCCCCCTTCACACAATCCCTTTTAAGTGTCCAAATGCAATTACACTTGGAACTCGCCTGGACTAGGCCTCCTCCAGCCTCCCCCCGCCTCCCCTTGGCCTCCCCATATAAACAAGTGACCCAGCTGGGCCCCAGCTGGCCTGCCCTGGAGAGGAGGGGAGGGTCCCCGCTGCCTGCCCAGCCCCTCAGCCCTGGCGTGCCCAGAGCTCCAGCAGCCCGCAGCCCTCCTCCTGCCCCCGCCCCAGGCCAGCTGGGCCGCCCTCCCGCCTCCCTCTGAGGCTTGTACTTGGACAGGGACATGGGGCTCCTCCGGGGCAGAGGCCCAGCCCCAGGGCAGGTGCAGGGCTCCCTTCAAGATGCCCACAGAGGCACCCACGCACGATCTGGGCACCGCTCGCTCCTGCGGGGAAGGCGCTGGCCGCAATTCCCTCGGGCTCCCTGGGCCATGAGAAAGTTGGCCCAGGGCAGGAGAGGCCTTCCTGACGGGCTCCTTAGGAAGCCGCTCCTCCCCACCCCGTCCTCACGCCACCCCCGGGGCGTCCGCACCCCCCAGGCTCTGGCTCGGTGCCCCAGGCCCCCAAGGTGCGCGTGGAGGGGAGCTGAGGTTGAGCGGCGCACACAGCAGGCACCACGCTCGGGCCAGGCGGCCTCGGTGATTTTCCACTCAGGCCATCTGACTGCTATTAAGGCCAGGAGAAGGGAATCCCTGGTTCCGTGAGCCTGCAGGGGACCCTGGGCAGATTCCGGGGTGTGGGGGGGTGCAGTGCCACCTGGGTGGCCTCACAGTCCCTGCCAAGTTTACCTCTCAAACGCCTGCACCTCCCCCTCCAGGGAGCCCTCGCCTGCTGTCTCCCGGCTTCTCTGTATCAGCCCTCAGTCCATATGAACAACTGGTGGGGACCCGCCCCTCCTGGGCCCGAGCCCCCC